GCTGGATTCGAATTGCCAACGTCAGAGCGAATTACATGAGGTGGTTCCCTTGACAGGATTCCGCGATCAGAACGGATTAGCCTTGCTAACTCTGTTTTCAGTACGAGTACGCCCACCGCAGTAAAACACATTCGTCGCATCGGCAACATCCGCGCCGCGATGGCACCCCAACGGCAAGTCAGCATGATCCGCAAAACAGTCCGGGGAAACGACTACCAACATCCGCATCCGAATCAACCCAATCAGCCGCGTCACGTTCGCCGCGTGGGGCAAACAGCCGCCCGCCCGCCGTGAGAATGCGAACCGGATGCGCGCCGGCGGCGCCACCGCCGCGCGGATCCCATTACTGGGTCACTCGGAGCCGGCTTCGCCGGAAGCCCCACGCGGAACTCGGGCAAAACGCGGCGGCATTCAGCACAAGCGGGCTGCAGACGCTCACGTGCTCTCGCTCTGAGACCGCGTGCCTCTGTTTGGGCTGTGTGAAGCCGTCGGGATCGAGGGCAGCCGGCGTCTGTTTCAGTGCGTCCACTTCGTGGCCTGCACTGACCAAACCGCCAGCTCCGAGGACTCGGGGAGCAATTTACCTGGCGCATCCACAGGAACCCCGCACAAACAGGGTATTACGACGGCGTGGCCAAGCGGCACACACACACACACACACACACACACACAAGCGCTATGGAATCAATGTGTAAATGGAGCAATAACCAACACATTTCATGACGCCGAAATGATGTAATTAATAAAACGTATTCATTACCCTCCATAAACAACACTTTAACAGAAATAAGCTGGCTCGGAGAAGAAAATATGTGTAAATGCAGAAACGTTCAGTTAACAGCGAAACATAAAACCTAAGCCGAGTCGGGAAGCGGTGCACCAATCCTCGTCCCTGCCGTCAAGAGCCCGTGTACCGATCCTCGTCCCTGCTGCCAAGAGCCCGTGTACCGATCCTCGCCCCTGACGTCAAGAGCCCCTGTTACCGATCCTCGTTCCTGCCGTCAAGAGCCCATTTACCGATCCTCGTCCTTGCCGTCAAGAGCCCATGTACCGATCCTCGTCCCCGCCGTCAGGAGCCCGTGTACCGATCCTCGTCCCTGCCGTCAAGAGCCCGTGCACCGATCCTCGTCCCTGCCGTCAGTAGCCCGTGTACCAATCCTCGTCCCTGCCGTCAAGAGCCCGTGTAGCGATCCTCGTCCCAGCGACGCTCGTGCGAGCCTCACCTCCTTGCCGTTCGAGGAGAGATCGGGCTCGTCTCGACCGATCTCCTTGCGCCATACGCGCACCATGGTCTCGAAGGCCGAGTCACGGCTGAGCAGGCTACCGAACACGTGGCGGCCTTCGCTGCTCACCACGGCCACCGCGTTGGGGATGATGCGCGCCGTCTTCTCCTTGGTGATGGCCAGCACCAGCGAGCACGGAATCAGTATCTGGAAGCGTGGACCAGTATATGGTGACGCGCGAACAGTATCTGGCGGCGCGAGCCAGTATCTGGTGACACGGGAATATTATTTGGCGGCGCGGGCCAGTATCTGGTGACGCGCGAACAGTATCTGGCGGCTCGGGCCAGTATCTGGTGATACGGGAATATTATTTGGCGGCGCGGGCCAGTATCTGGTGACGTGGAAGCAGTATCTGGCGGCGCGAGCCAGTATCTGCTGACACGGGAGCAGTATCTGGCGGCGCGGGCCAGTATCGTGACGCGAAAGCGGTATCTGGCGGCACTGGTTATAATCTGGTAGCACGGGGCAGTATCTGGTGGCGCGAGCCATTATCTGGTGACACGGGAGCAGTATCTGGCGGCGCGCGCCAGTATCTGGTGACGCGGGAGCAGTATTTATCGGTGACATTTGGCAGCACGAAATCCGCACCTTGCAGTACGGTGTCGGTATTTGGTGACAGGTCACTGGGAAGGTAAGATTTTAAAATTGATATTACGAGCAACACCACGAGATGCATGCTGCACGGTTGTCAAGTTGTGAACTACTGCGTCTCTGTCCTGTGCTTTTGGCTGCGCGAGTACAAGAATCTGAGCGTCGAACGGTAACAAAGCTTTATGACATGATACTACGAAGTGGCACATATTCATAACATTCATGGGGTGCAAAGCCATCTGGGTATTATTTCATTACCTGGGACTGAACCGACTATCCTGTTTTGTATTGAACCATCGTAAGCCACAAGGTTGATGCGTATGACAATCAAAACAATGGAGAATGGACGCTTATTTCACGCGTGTTTACGTGCATTCACCATTGTGAGGGATCGATAACCATTACTTATGACCTCGGTAGCATTTATTCACGCATATTTTTAGGACGCAATACGGCAGGGACATCCAACGTCAATTACTGCACTGGGCTAATCCAATATCGGTCTCCGCTAAGTGTTTTCACGACAGAAAACCGTGGCAGGGGGACCCCAACTGCCCGCATGTCATGATAATTCAGTTTGTCATCAATATAGTGGCAACCTGCCTTGTTCTGCGCCATGATGGCGTGGCCTAAGAAGATGAAAAGAGGGTGGAAAAGGTGAAAGGCGAACAAGTGACTGGCGGGGTACAAACGACGACGCTGTGACTTACCCTGGTAACGTGCCCGAAGAGGTTGGAGTAGAAGGCGAAGTGATGACTGGTGACGTAGAGCCGGCCCTGCAGCAGAATGTCGCTCACCAGCGCACATGAGAACGCTGAAACACCAGTGGTGACCACGCCCTCAGGCACCATTCCCACTGCTCACCACACGGCCGAAAGCTGACAGACACGAATAAAAACGATTGATATAGCACGTTGCCTTGTTCGGAGCGCGGCGATGCTGTTTTGAAAGATCATCGATCGTGAAAACTGCAACATGGTGAAAATGCCGGCATCCGAATACATCATCACCAAACTTTTTCCCTTGCAGCTGGACCGTGAACGTCCAATTTCAGCTGTATTGCGTGCAAGCTGCGCTTTTGGACAAACGTGCTGCCCCATCAGTATTGTGCTTAACGTCATAAACTCCCATTTCGCGGAACTTAGAATGCTACTACCTCGCGCACCAGCGGTGTTCTGAGCATTCCAATCTCGTGTCTTCTCTAGCTTCCATTTCATGGCAGCCTTCAGTCCCTATCTCGCAGTTATTCCTAGCCCCGTCTCGCGGCCTAGTCCAGCCCCGTTTCACACGGTCTTTACGCCCTCCTCCCTCCCCCCTACCCCACCGCCAACCACCTTCCCACGCCTCCCCAGCGGCCCGGCTCTGCCCGGCCCCACTCACATTTAACGATCTTCTCGTGGGCGTCCAGGTCCTTAAAACGCCGCAGGAACTTGCGCTGCGAACGTGACACTTCGAACGACGGCTGCGAGTCCAGCCGGTTCATCATGGGGGTGCTGCGGCTGAGGCTGCGCAGCGCGTGTCTGGAACACGGCGCGGCGTCCGTGAGGAAATGGCCAGGGCGAAGGCGCCGCGAAGCAGCACAGGAAGGTCTGCAGCACGGCGCGGCGCGGCCGAGTGTATGGCGAGCAGCGAGGCGCGAGGCACCGCGAGGCAGAGCAGGAGACGGGGGACCAATTCAGACGCGCTTCGCGGTCCAGCAAACTGTTGAAACTGACTCGAGTATAAATGTCACGTAATGTTTCCATCTACAAAAGCCATTGCCGCCGGCCATTACGGCTCGCTCGAGGAAAGAGTTAATGTGTTGACGGCGCTTGGGCTCCAGCAGCAGCGTCGTGCCGTCGTCGCCTGGAAGAGCTCAGGGCGTGTCTTCAGCGGCGGGGCGGCCGCCGTCGAGCCGATGGTGAGGGCCGATGTGATGTGATGGCGTCGTGTGACGTGATGAAGACATGTGATGTGATGACGAGATGCAATGTGACAACGTTATGTGATGACGAGATGGCAATGTGATAACGTGGTGCGATCCGATGACTTATGTGATGTACTAATGCGATGTGATGTGACGATGTGTGTGATGTAACGATGCGACGGCGTGTCTGACATGATGATGTAATGCGATGTGGTGACGCCACGTGGCATGTGACGTGATGATGAGTGACAGGCGTGTGTAATGTGATGACGGGATGTAATGCCAAGACCGACTTTGAATCCGATAACGGAGTGTGATGTGATGACGGGAATGTGATGTGATGACGGGATGTGACATGATGACCGGATGGGACGCGATGGCGGGACGTGATGCGATGGGTAGGATGAGTGATTCGGCAGGTGTAACGCGGTTCACGCCACCGGCTCCGCGATGTCGCAGGGTCACGCGCAGGCGACGCCACTACGTGAGGGGCAGTGAACACTACCGAACCGGTACGTGACAGCCGCGGATGTGGGTCAACGGCACGCGGAGAGCCATCGCCCCGGCGTGGCCCTCACCGAGAACGAGTCGCGTCGGACATGTGACGTGATCGTGACGTGCTCATGTCACACACGTCGTCCCAGAGGGGAGCTGGGCGGGACGATCGGGTGGGGTTCGTTATCTCGATGGGCTTTATCGGTCATGATGAAGCTTGAGACGGGACGGATGGGCTAGAAGGCGCCTCGAATCTTACATGCTGGTTTTTAGTCGCGTGACGCGGCTGGGCTGCTGTTGGGATAGCCGTTGGAGGCTGAAAATATCGCAATAGCTTTGAAGGAGGGGATTTTCCCAGCCTTTCCAAACGATACCCCAGTACCATCGATCCCGCGTGCCCGAAACGGCGAGCGAATACCTTCATTCGCATCATTTACTGCTTGAGAGCGTCCATTCAGAGCACAGAAAACATCCAAAACCTTGCTAAGCGCGCCTACCTAAGCACGCCATTGGAAACACACACAACGGTCTCCATGCCTTCTCAGCTGCTGAGTGGGACGCGTGTGCATCACGGACGACCGCAGCGCAGCGGGTTCATCGACCACGACGGGAAGATCTCTGTGCGGCCCGGTCGGGTCTACTCCCAGGCCCGGTCGGGTCTACTCCCTGGCCCGGTCGGGTCTTCTCCCAGGCCCGGTCGGGTCTACTCCCATACCCGGTCGGGTCTACTCCCAGGCCCGGTCGAGCCTACTCCCGGGCCCGGTCGGGTCTACTCCCAGGTCCGGTCGGGTCTACTCCCTGGCCCGGTCGGGTCTACTCCCAGGTCCGGTCGGGTCTACTCCCAGGCCCGGTCGGGTCTACTCCCAGGCCCGGTCGGGCCTACTCCCGGGCCCGGTCGGGTCTACTCCCAGGTCCGGTCGAGTCTTCTCCTAGGCCCGGTCGGGCCTACTCCCGTCCAGCAGTGCCAGCTCCGCAAAGGCGGTCGGCGCGCCTCCACGGGGACCGCAGCGCGTGTGGGCGGCGACGACTGAGAGAGACGCATCTGCCTGAACGGGACCTCCAGAACATGGCCTCCAGACTTGTCCGAGCAGGACCTCCAGAACAGGACCTTCAGACCTGTCCGAGCGGGACCTCCAGAACAGGACATTCAGATCTGTCCGAACAGGACCTCCAGAACAGGACCCTCAGATTTGCCTGAACAGGACCGCCAGAACAGGACCTCCAGACCTGTCCGAACAGGATCTCCAGAACAGAACCTTCAGACCTGACCGAACAGGACCTCCAGAAAAGGACCTTCAGATCTGCCTGAACAGGACCGCCAGAACAGGACCTCCAGACCTGTCCGAACGGGACCTCCAGAACAGGATCTCCAGAACAGGACCTCCAGACCTGTCCGAACAGGACCTGTCCGAACAGGACCTCCAGCTGTGGAGCCGCGCAGTCTGCGCGGCTCAGACCGGGGCTCAGGGCTGACTGCGGTCTCAGGAGGGCTCGACACAGCCCACGCTTGAAGCAGCTCAGCAGATGCCCTTCCGGCAGGCCGCAGCTGCAGGCCGCGGCAAGTGGGCGGCTCGCGATCGACCTCAGCCGTCTGCCTCCCACGCGGCATGCGACGTTGATCGGCTTCCTCTGCGGCCGAACAGGCGTTCGCTGGGCGTCGGCCCTGTAATCCACTGTAACGGGCCCGGTGCCGCGCGAGCCTCCCAGCCGCGTCATTCGTAAGCTTCGATCGAAGTGACCCACTTCACTTCTATTTGTGCTCCACAGCCCATACGCAAACTACTTTCCAGCGCGGTGCGCGCTATCGGATTTTGATTCATCGACCGTCCACTTTGCAACACGACGGAGCCACCCCGATGAAGTCTGCCAACGGCACCCCACAACGCGGATGACCCTGGCATGACCGTGCACCCTTCAGGAGCAGCACCGGACCTCCGCCTGACCACCAAAGACTGGAAGCCCACGGACGCCGCTGGGTGCTGCCATTTACCCGAGCTGGTCCACGGAACTGTGACAGAAGGTCGGGCAAGCTTCCTACACGCCCACTCGGCACATCACGGAGCGTGAGGTGGTCCTCACGGCTTCCGCCAGCCGCGAACGCACCCGGAAGCGGCTATTGCAATCGAGGTATATACATATACATGTGTACACACACACACACACATATATATATATATATATATATATATATATATATATATATATATCGCTCACTGTCGCTCACTGTCACGTACCATTGTCTATGTACTTTAACATTGCTTTTTAAGCCGATGGCTATCATTGTCTTTGACGTGAGCTGCAATAGCACATTGGGCAATGCTCTTCATCAGTGATTCATTCTTTGTCACGCGTGGCATAATCCGTCGGTTCTCATCGAACAGGAAAGAAGCTCTCGCACAACACATCGTTGCAACTGAAAGACCGCGACAAAAATAGCCCTAGCTTCCTTGTCGGGGCCATTGACAGAACGGCACGTGCATTGAGAAACGTGAAAGACGGGCATTCAGAGGCGTTACTGCTAGGCGGGTGAGACTCAGACATCACAGTCTGATGGCACCGAATCCCTCAGGCCTCAAAGGCTGCCAGCTCCGGATGGATCCTGTCTGCTTTGTCTTTTATGAGCTTCCTGACATCAGGGATGGGGCACTCAAAGAGTCAGAGATGCTATCAGCATGTGTTGTGAGACTGACTGTACCATACCAGGAATAATGTCAATCACAAGTCACACCGAGCGCGCGAGTGGCAGGCACTGTACATGCGCAATCTTTAACGGACTGGCTCGGCAGGACTGGACACAAACCGAAGAAAAAAAAACCTCACACAAACGCTCATTAAAAGATGCCTGGTAAAAACTACACCGCGCCAGTGACGGCTAAAAACTACTCCTAACCGCTTGGCGACTATACCGGAAATGGGGCGAACCAAGTCTAGAATGATGCTCTGGTGCAAGGCTCGAACGAAGGCGTGCCCAGCAGCACGCACTCTGTAGAGATGGCGTGCCAAGCAGTACATGCTCTCGCGAGTGCAAGCTAAGAACCACGACCCATTCTCCGCTGCAGCTGACACCCTGCTCGGGACACTCCCACCCTTCCATGGCATGGTTGGTACTCCACAGTGGCCTGGTATGGCCTGTCCCGCTCCACCGCCGTATCGTCGGGCCTGTCCCGCTCCATCGCCGTCTCGTCGGGCCTGCCCCGCTCCACTGCCGTCTCGTCGGGCCTGTCCCGCTCCACCGCCGTCTCGTCGGGCCTGTCTCGCTCCGCTGTGGCCTCGTCGGGCCTGTCCCGCTCCGCTGCGGCCCCGTCGGGCCTGTCTCGCTCCGCTGTGGCCTCGTCGGGCCTGTCCAGCTCCGCTGCGGCCTCGTCGGGCCTGTATCGCTCCGCTGCGGCCTCGTCGGGCCTGTCCCGCTCCACCGCCGTCTCGTCGGGCCTGTCCCGCTCCACGCTCCACCGCCGTCTCGTCGGGCCTGTCCCGCTCCACCGCAGTCACGTCGGGCCTGTACCGCTCCGCTGTGGCCTCGTCGGGCCTGTCCAGCTCCGCTGTGGCCTCGTCGGGCCTGTCCCGCTCCGCTGCGGTCCCGTCGGGCCTGTCTCGCTCCGCTGTGGCCTCGTCGGGCCTGTCCCGTTCCGCTGCGGCCTCGTCGGGCCTGTATCGCTCCACTGCCGTCTCGTCGGGCCTGCCTCGCTCCGCGGCGCCCTCGTCGGGCCTGTCCCGCTCCACCGCCGTCTCGTCGGGCCTGCCCCGCTCCGCGGCGCGCTCGTCGGGCCTGTCCCGCCCCACCGCCGTCCCGCCGGGCCTGCCCCGCTCCGCGGCGCCCTTGTCGGGCCTGTCCCGCTCCACCACCGCCTGGTCGGGCCTGTCCCGCTTCACTGCCGTGCCGCAAGGCTCGCAGTGCCGTTTCCTCGCGCCCGGGACCCGGGACCTCCGGGACCACCAGGGAGGACCCGGGGCCGCGGTGCTCCGCTCGCCCACCGGATCGGTCCGGAAGCTGCACCTCTGACGCCGGGCCGGAACCGGACTGCGGCCGGCGAGGTGGGGCTCCGAACCGTTGTACCCCGCCCCGCCCTGCCCCGCCTCGGGCCACAGCCTCGCCGTCGCCAACGCCGGGTCGCCGCCGGC